TCACAATGGATTAAATCTTTTTCATGTATATCATATAATGCAGTACATAAATTTTTAAAGATTATAATTCTGTCTTTTAACGTTAAATGATTATTTTGTAAATAATCCCTTAAATTTCCCTCTAAATAATTTAAAACTATTGCATAATTTCCATTATCTGGGAGTTTGGTTATACCATAGCACTGAACAATCATATATGATTTAATTTCATCGCCTATTGAATATAAAATCAATTAGTATTATATAATAGAATATTGTTTTATTTTGTTTTAAATGACAACCACCAACCTCGTCAAAAAAGCCTTTTCCTGGATTACTTGAATCATTTAGACTTTTTAATACTACTAATGCCCCTCCAAAATAACTAAATTCCTTTTTATTTTCATTGTAATCAACTATATTACCTCTTGTCCATTCCGCAGTATAAATTGAACTAAATCCACCTTCAGCTAACTTTTTTACTTTTTTAAATTGCTCAAAGGGTATCCATTCTAAAATATATAGTGGCAAAGATGATTTCAATTGACATTGTTGAATAAAGTTGTCAACTATGTTATTTTCAGATGTCCAAGAGGTAAAAAGGCTCTGTAATTGTAAACTAATACAACCTTCACAGAACCTATCAGTGTATCTTGTCAATTTACATTTGTTACATTCTTTTGATTTTCCCAATTTATCTCTTGCATTTTTTAATTCAAACTCATAAATAAACCTTTCCTTACAATATTCTTTTTCATTTTCAGAAAGCTCCTTGTTTTTTTTGACTAATGAAAAAAAATAATCTTTTCTACTTTCTCTATCAGAATTAACATTAGCATTATTATTAAGTATTTCTCTATAAATTTTATATACAAAATCCTTTCTTTCTGATGATAATGATAATAATAATTTATTATGTGACATTATATAAAGATATAATAATAAAATATAAATTTCGACTTTGTGCTTTAAATGAATGTTGAAAATAATAATAATAACGTTACATTATTTATTTCCTTTTTCGTGTAACAAACATAAGATTGATTGATAGGGGAAAAACGAAAATTGCATTATTTAAAGGACAACTCCATAATCACCAAACTCCAGCGATTGATTTAAAAGTCGTTTTTTAAATACTAATATTGATCAACTTACGTTGCTTCAAACTCAGACACCAAAGACAGCTCAAGAACATTATTAATATTATTGCGTGTTACTATTACACATAGTTCTGTAGTTAACTTCAAAGTCAAAATTTCAAAAAAACATCAATTTAACACAACTCGTATGTACAGTATGTAAATACAATTTGATTTTTACATTTTAAAAAGAATGGGTTTAATTGTAAAAAAGAAGAGGCATTTTTATTTTGAAAGAAAATATACGGAAAAAATAAGTATATTAATATTAATATAGTTTAATTAAGTAAAATTTCTAATTCAAATTATAACATTTCTAAACTTCTCATGATAATTATTCTTTTGAATCATTGCAATCTACATACAATTCTTTATTCATCCTCGGGATAGGGATGGAGCAGTTTCACTAACAAACAGTTTGAACTCGGTTTTGAAACCAACCCTGGCTTTTTTTGGTTTGGTTTTTGGAACCGTTCGAACCAGGACGCATATTTTTACATAATTTGGAACGTTCGATAATCCTACTTTATCATTATCATTATTACTATTTGTATAAAGCGTCTTTACTTACGTCAAGTGTTTTTAATTACCTCAAATGGTTTTACTCACGTCAAGGGATTTTACTTTAGTCAAGTCGTCAAAATGACCCTGGTAAGAAACCACCTTTAGTCAATGTTTTAGTTACGTCAATGATTAAAGTCAAAAGTTTCATCATTCATCATTAGTGAGAGTTAACAACAACTAATAATGTAATTGCTTTGGTGAGCAAGCAAATGTTCGAAGTATAGTACAAAGGTTAAATGGAAATACTGGTAGTATTATTATAATAGTAAACGTAAGGCTGTTAAACAAGCTACTTGAGTTGATTTGCAAATAAACTAAAGCGAGTTTGCAGTCATTCAATGAATGTAAACGAATAAATCGATCACAAGTGAATAAAATGAACTTTATAGAGGTCCTTGATCTTTGTAAAAGGCCATCTTTAATTATTTACACTTATCTGGTACCATTAAGCATGCTCACATATTCGTCTAGATGTAAGAAAGAGGGAACCAAAGCAAATTCCTAAACTAACTAAATGATAAGCACCGAATTATCGCAATGAACTTAAGACATACTTGTTAAATAATTGAAATAATATCACCATTTATTTAAAAAGAATCAAAAAACTGTGAAAAATTTATTACTTTAAAATAATTTAGCTTTAAATTGTTGGTTTTCTGTTTAGTACTTGGCTTTATTTATGATCATGACGGCAAAATAAATTAATATTAAAATCCACAATACTCGGAATAATAAAATAAAAATAAAAATATATATATATATATATTAATTAATATATATAACGAATGTAAAGAGGAAATAAAATTTATTCAACGAAAACATCAAAGTTTTATTATTATTATTATTATTATTATTATTATTAAAATATAAAAAAAAAAAAAATATATATTTTCCGTTAATTTGTTTGACATTTCAATCATCGCTACTACTATCATTATTAATTGTATATA